CACACACACACATACACACACACACATACACACACACACAGTATAAAGGACTGAGTTTCTCTGACACCAGCTGCTGCTTCCTGACTGACTTCCAGTGAAAACGTCTAACTTCAAACATCAGAGGGAAAACTGACAATTTGACTTCTTCCTAACATTTTCTTTGATGTTTTTATTGTTTTATTGTAGTTTTTATCAGTTGGAAACAAAACATCAGTTATTCTGTGGATTAAACTCTTCATTAATAATGTTCTCAGATGACTTCAGGTCTTTAATTCACTTTGCTCTGTTGTCTGAGTTACGGACTGTTGACTGAAGCTATTGTAAGTTTACAAATGATTATTATTATATTATTATTATTATTATTATTATTGTTATTATTATTATTGTTGTTGTTTTTATTATTATTATTCACAAAGGTACAGAGAAAATCAGGTTAAATGTTGAAATTTTCTCAACAAATAACAAATTCTTGAGTTTTTACAGAAAACTGAACTTCAGTCTGAAAAGTTTCTGATGTGTGAAGTCAGGATTAACTAAGCCTGATTTAATCTTTTGTGTTTTGTTTTGAACTTCTTGTGCAGAAAATACCAACCTAATGAGGAATCTGTCAGTTGTTGGGAATTAAATTCTGTTTGTTTTATGTTCACAGAAGTTTCCACCGATAAAAGGTTTGTGCTTTTTGTTCACACAGAAAATATACAGAATGTCACTTTAATCTAAATAAAATCCAACTAATGATAAATAAATGTGTCAAAAACAAATCAGAATGGACTTTAGAGAGAATTCAGTAAAAACAAACAAAACTACTGTGGAGCTAATCCTTACTGTGTACAACTGTAGGAAACAGTCAAGTACTGATTAAGTAATGATAAAAGTACTACTCTGTAGTTACTGAGTTCATAATTTTTGTGTACCTTATTGTACTGTGTCACCAAACAGAGATCATAGAAGAAAAAAACAAGGTTTACTGAACAAAAACAAAATGAGGACAAGGAGACAAACAAACAAAAAAAACATGTAAACAGAAAATAAATGAATAAATGTTTTCAAAAAAGTTTTAAAGAAATTAAATTTGATTAAAGCATCACTGCGCACCTGAGAAAAAAACTCATTAAAATAAAATGAACAAAGAGTTTAATGAAAAAAGAGTAAAAAACAAAAACAACTGGACTTTTTTATCTTTTGTTTTTTTCTGTTTTGTGATTTTATCTCTTGCTTTGTTGTGAATTCTTCTCTTG